CCACTCCGTGCAGTTCTCTGTGGTTTGCCATGCACGTGAGCACCTGGACTGTGTGTCTTAGTGTCGCCCCGGGTTACACGTGAGGAGCCTTGGGCCCTTCGGTCTGTGCATGGGAATCTGCACCTCTTTCTCTTCCTGTCCAAGCACGTGGGCTGCAGGCTCTCCTGATGCGAATACCCCCGCAGCCTCTGGCTGAGCCCCTCTCCTTGGAATTTCCGATAGACTGGTGGCAAGACCCGAGATCTGAGTTCATTAGAGGGGCAGGATAGGCTGGGCACAGTGGCTCAGGCCTTGAAGCCCAGCACTTTGAGGGGCTGAGGCGGGCAGGTCACCTGAGGCTATGAGTTTTTAGAGGAGGGGGACAAATGCTGGATCCCTTGGCTTTACGGCCCCACCCTCAAGATCGTAAATTGGCGTCTGGTCATCGGAAGGGGGTCGGGCAATGATGTGTGTCCGTGTAATTGTGAACTCCGGGGCTGCACACAGGAGGGTTTTTGTCCTTGAAGCTCAGATTGCCCCATTTGTGGCCCGCGGGAGCCTCTTGGTTGGCTCCTGAGTCCTGTGCATGTGACTGTGGTGCCAGCCGCTTCCTGCGTCTGCAGGACGGGCTGCTCTGGGCTCATCCTGTGAGCCTTCCGCCCCAGACCTGGACCAGCCTGTACCTCCAGGAACCTCTGGCGTAATGTGTGTCACTGGGCCTTTTGTCAGTGTGGTTCCCTCAGCTTGTTTTTGTGTGGATTCCTTGGGACGTGTTTGTGGAAACTGTACTCACGGAGTCCTCGGACACCTTCAGAAGGTGTCTGGGAACTAGGAGGTGGTGCTGACTTGGGTCTAGGTGGCCAGGCCGTTGTTTGGGGAAGCACGCCCTGGAGCATTTGGTGTGATGGGGCACTGCGTGTACAGCTCCACCTCACACAGTCTGGGGAACGAGGCAGGTGTGCGTGTGCCAGTGTGTGCCCGTGTGTGGTGTGTGTGCGCACATATGTGCCCGTGTGTGTCCGTGTGTGGTATGCACATGTGTGCCTGTGTGTGGTGTGTGTGTACACATGTGTCCCTGTTTCCGTGTGTGGTATGTGTGTGCCCATGTGTGGTGTGCATATGTGCCCATGTATGTCCATATGTGGTATGTGTGTGCACATGTGTGCCTGTGTGTAGTGTGCATGTACAGCTCCACTTCACACTGTTAAGGGGATCGAGGCAGGTGTGTGTGCACGTGTGTGCCTGTGTGTAGTGTGCATGTACAGCTCTACTTCACAGTCCAGGGGATCAAGGCAGGTGTGTGTTTGCCCGTGTGGTGCATTTGTGCACCCATGTGTGGTGTACATGTGCCCATGTGTGGTGTGTGTTTATAGCTCTGCCTCACACTGTCCAGGGGATGCAGGTGTGTGTGTGCATGTGTGTGCCTGTGTGTGGTGTGCATGTGCATGTGTGTGTCTGTGGTGTACGTGTGCCCGTGTGTGGTGTGCGTGTACATGTGTGCCCATGTGCACGTGTGTGCCTGTGTGTGGTGTACGTGTGCCTGTGTGGTGTGTGTGTGCCTGTGTGGTGTGCGTGTGCACGAAGAAATCTCTTACCATGTACGCCTTAGGTCCCCCAGCTGGGCTCTGTACCTGGGACTGGCTGAAGACTGAATAATGAATGAGAAACAGACATTTATCAACATGTGCGTCGTACACAACCTGGGAAAGCGTGGTTGGAGCCTGGGCATGTTCACCATCCTGGGTGCCTATTACCCTCAGGCTTCTGGGAAGGAAATCAGGGAAATTAAGTCCACAAGGCTGCTTTGTAAGGTTTTTGTTTTTGAAATGGAGTCTCACTCTGTCACCCAGCCTGGAGGGCGATGGTGCTATCTTGGCAAACTGTAACTTCCACCTCCCAGGTTCAAGCAGTTCTCCTGCCTCGGCCTCCTGAGTAGCTGGGATTCCAGGCCTGCACCACCATGCCCAACTAATTTTTCTACTTTTAGCAGAGATGGGGTTTCACCATGTTGGTCAGGTTGGTCTCAAACTCCTGACCTGCCTCAGCCTCCCAAAGTACTGGGATTCCAGGCGTGATCCACCATACCTGGTCACTTTGTAAGGTTTGAGATGCAGATTTCAGGAGTGTGTTTCCTGGTAGGGAGAGGGAGATGCCCCTGGGAATGGAAGCTCCCTTCATAGAAGTCTATGCAAACCATTTAATGTTTTGGCAGCCCAGGAGTTTCAGACCACCCTGGACAACATGGTAAAACCTTGTCTCTATACAAAACAAAAAATTAGCTGGGTGTGGTGGTGCACATCTGTGGTCCCAGCTATGCAGGAGGCTGAGGCGGGAGGATCATTTGGGCCCAGGAAGTCACGGCGGCAGTGAGCTGTGATAGCACCATTGCACTCCAGCCTGGGTGACAGATAGAGACCCTTTCTCAAAAAAAAAAAAAAAAAAAAAAAAAGGTTTTTTGAGTCTTCACCTCATACCCTTTATTTTCTAATTGAAAGCACCTGGGTGGAGACCCGGCCTGTGAGTGCATGTGAGAGTGTGTCTTGGACTCACATGTGCTCACAGAGGAAGATCTGGGAGTGGGAATGAAGTAGAGGAGGAAGCCGCAGCCACGTGGAGATGCTTGTGGTCACCGTCTGTGTGGCCCCTGCCCACATCTGACCGCAGACCCTGAGGGGTTTGCAGGGGAATGTCAGAGCTGCGCCCCCACCTGTCCTGGCCCGGGAGGCACCATCCCGGATCCTTGGTGACGAGTGCAGTGTTGGGTTGTTTGCAGAGGTGTGGATGTCCCCAGAAGGACAGGGACAAGGGGCCTTAGGGAGGTGAGCCAAGACCAGGTGAGGTGGTCACTCCTGGGAACATGAGTGCCTGCGTGTCAGCCCGGAGGGATGAGCCCTTTCTGCAGGGAGCGGCCGCTGTGCCGGCTGGGCCTGGGAGGAACTGCCTTGCCCTCAATGTTCAAGGAAAGGAAAGCAGCTGCGGCTTTCATTTAATCCTCCCCTTGGTGGCCGGCTCAGCCCCGTGGAGTTTAGGGAATGAGTTCAGCGCCTCTATTTTTGGAAGCTGCTCTAAGCTTCTCTGTATCTGGGGCCAAGGTCAGGCTATGCTTCTCTGCAGACCCCCTGCTGCCTGGAGCTCAGGGCCCCCTGCCATGCCACCTGTGGGATTGGGGTCACCTGCAGAACCAGGGTGGACGCTGATGGTTCTTCACTCCTCTGTCCCCAGCTGGACCAGGATGTACTCAGCAGAGAAGGTAAAGAAGAACAAAGCGCTCAGAGCCCCAGAGGCAGATAGAAAACAAGGATATGGAAGGGAGGACTTTAATCCCTGGCATTTGCTCACTGAGCTGGCTCTGGCTGAACCACCTTCAGAGGCATTAGTATTTACTGTTAAACCGACTTCACCGTGTGCTTACTCTGAAAAGCAGTGACAGGACCGTGATGTTGCGTCAGTGTTTGTGATGGTTCTATCTTAACCAAGATATTCAATTAACAAAAACAGGCTGGGCACGGTGGCTTATGCCAGTAATCCCAGCACTCTGGGAGGCCGAGGCAGGTGGATCACCTGAGGTCAGGAGTTTGTGACCAGCCTGGCCAACATGGCGAAACCCTGTCTCTACTAAAAATGCAAAAATTAGCCAGGTGTGGCGGCGGGTGCCTGTAATCCCAGCTACTAGAGAGGCTGAGGCAGGAGAATAATTTGAACCCAGGAGGCAGAGGTTGCAGTGAGCTGATATTGTGCCACTGCACTGCAGCCTGGGCAACAGAGGGAGACTCTGTCTAAAAAATAATAAATAAAAGAGCAAGAACAGCTCAGCCCCGCACGGCAAGAGGCCAAGTTGCGTGGGCATCAGCCGAGGCTGTGCACCTGCAGGACGGGGCCAGATGCACTGGGGAGGGTGTGGCGCGATCACACGGGTCACATACTGAACTCTTTCCCAGTGCAAATCCAAGCACTAAAATTTACTGTAAATCATTACATGAGCAAGCTAAAAAATGACATGGGAAACGCAGAAGTGCTTTGGTGACACAAATGTCCGTTCGAAAGGAGGACGCGCTGCTGGAAGCATTTGTCTGAGTGTATTTTTGTTGTGGTAAAACGCACAGAATGCGGAATGTGCCCTCTTACCCACATTTCCAGCTCAGCGGCATCAGGGCCGCTCACCTCGTGGTGTAACCATCGCCGCCGCGCTCTCCAGGGCTGTTGCATCTTCCAGACAGAATCCTGGTCCCCGTCACTCCTTCCCTCCCTCCGCCTGCTACGGCCTGTGGCCGGACTCCCTCCCCTTCTAAGGCTGAATGATACTCCATCGTGTGACCATTCATGTTTTGCTTATCCACTCGTGCCGATGGACACGTGGGTTGCCTCCGTCTCTTGGCTGTTGCGAATAGTTCTGCTAGGAATATGGGGGTGCCTGCATCTCCTTGGGACTCTGTTTTTCACCTGCAGATTTTTATTTATTTATTTATTATTTTGAGACGGAGTCTTGCTGTCTCCCAGGCTGGAGTGCAGTGTCGTGATCTCAGCTCACTGTAGCCTCCACCTCCCAGGTTCAAACAATTCTCCTGCCTCAGCCTCCCAGATAGCTGGGATTACAAGTGCCGGCCACCACACCCAGCTAATTTTTGTATTTTTAGTAGAGACGGGGTTTCTCCATTATCAGCCAGACTGGTCTTGAACTCCTGACTTGAGGTGATCTGCCTGCCTCAGCCTCCCACAGTGCTGGGATTACAGGGCTGAGCCGCCACGCCTGGCCCTCGACCTGCAGATTTTAACTGACGCCCAGCCAGGCGGCCTCCAGCTCAGCCCTTCAGCCCCAGGAATGTCCTAAAAGGCCTGGCTGTGGGGGTCGCTCCCCACGAGCCCTGTGTCTGCAGGCTTCAGCCCGACTCTTCCTCTCCCACTTTCTCCTTCCCTCCTGAGAGGGGTCCTTGTGGGGTGGCCCTGTTTTCTTTGGCTGCAAGGGGAGTGGGGCTTGTGGAGGTGAGGAGAGTGTCAGGGTCTCTTCTCCCCCTGCCTGGCAGATTACTACACCCCGGCCATGCTGGGCCTAAAGACCGACCAGGAGGTGCTGGGGGAGCTGGTTCGGGCAAAGCTGCCAGCCGTGGGGGCCCTGATGGAGCAGCTCGGCGTGCTGTGGACGCTGGTGGTGTCCCGCTGGTTCATCTGCCTGTTTGTGGATGTCCTGCCTGTGGAGGTGAGCGCCTCGCTCAGGGCCCGGGGCGGGCAGGGAAGCTGCCAGGGAGTGACATGGTTTCTGTGTCTCTGCAGACAGTGCTTCGGATCTGGGACTGTCTGTTCAACGAAGGCTCGAAGATCATCTTCCGGGTGGCCCTGACCTTAATTAAGCAACACCAGGAGTTTATTTTGGAAGCCACCAGCATTCCAGACATTTGCGATAAGTTTAAGCAGATTACCAAAGGGAGTTTCGTGATGGAGTGTCACACGTTCATGCAGGTAAGTGTCTGCGGGTGCTCACGGGGCACACGTGGCTCCGTCCCTTCCGCTGGGGGGCCCCGCCTTACCTGCAGCCCAGGGCTGCTCTGACTACGTGAGGGTGCACAGGACGGGCACCAGTGTCAGTGAGCCTCCGGCTCTGTCCTGTGTGCCTGGCCTCCCAGGACTTTCCTCTCCCTGTGGACGCTGCTCCTGGTCCTACAGGCTGTCTGCATCTGTTGTCTGTGCTGCTGGAACAGCGGCTTCCCAAGGCCCAGCTTCCCCACTGGGTCCTGGACCTGACATGGGCAGTAGAGACTCAGGCCCTGATGAGGGTGACGTGGGAGCCGTACCCAACTGGCCTTCTGAGGAGGCCAAGAGGCTAGGATAGGCTCAGGCCCCGGATGCTGCTCATCGCTCCCTGAGAGGGAATGGAGGCTTGGGGCCCCTCTGGATGCAGCATGGTGGGCGTGGGGGGTATTTCAGCAGCCAGGGCCTCATCAAAGAGAACAGAGTGGTGGCCGGGTGCGATAGCTCACACCTGTAATCCCAGCACTTTGGGGGGCTGAGGGCGAAAAGATCACCTGAGGCCAGGAGTTCAAGACCAGCCTGGCCAATGCGGCAAAACCCCATCGGTACTAAGAAATACAAAAATCAGCTGGGTGTGGTGGCTCACGCCTCTAGTCCCAGCTACTTGGGAGGCTGAAGCAGAATCACTTGAACACGGAGGTGGAGGTTTCAGTGAGCCGAGAGCGCACCACTACACTCCAGCCTGGGCAACAGAGTGAGACTCAGTAAAAAAAAAAAAAAAAAAGAAATAGAAAACTGTGGTGACAAACGAGAGATGTCAGACACAAGCCCTTGGCAGAGGACACAGCAGTCAGCTGTGACTCACTCGAGGGCTTGTCAGGTAAAATGAGCGCTTCGCCACGGACGCGTGCCTCGCTGGAGGGGGAGAGCTCTCCGTCCTCGGAGGTCAGGCTGCTGGCCACTGGGTGAGAAGGTTTCAGAGCCTCATGGAGCATCAGCTTCCTGAGAGGGAGCCAAGGCCCAGGCCTCCTTGGGAGGGTCTGCTCCAGGAACCTCGTTTGCAGGTGGCTTGGCTGTGCCCAGGGTGTGCTGGAGATAGGTTATTTTCCTAGAATGAGCTTTGTCCAAAGGTGAAGTGGTGAACGGTAAACAGGACTCTGAGCTCCTCAGATCTGTTAGAGACTACAGACAGTACGGTGTCTTCTGTCATAGCCTTCTGAGTTATATCACTAAATAATTAACATAAAGAGCCGTGACGTGCACGGGGAAAAGCAGCCCAGGCTGCCCTGGGGGAGATGAGCATGTGCCTGTTGTTCTGTGGCTGGCTTCTTTCCCACAAGACTGACAGCCAAGCTCTTTTTGGAGAAGGGGATCTCCATCTGCGCCTTAGGGGAGTGCAGTGGTGCAGTCTCAGCTCACCGCAGTCACCACCTCCAGGGCTCAAGCCATTCTCCCAAGCAGCGGGGACCACAGGCACTTGTCACCATGCCTGGAAAATTTTTAAATTTATTGTAGAGATGGGGTTTCCCTGTGTTGCCCAGGCTGGTCTCAAACTCCTGAGCTCAAGTGATCCTCCCACCTTGGCCTCCAGAAATGCTGGGATTGCAGGCTTGAGTCACCACACCCAGCACAACCTTCAAATGAATCTAAAATCTCACCCGGAGTCGCTGGTGCATTGGGTGATAGTCTCTGTGTGGAGCTGCCACAGCCCCCGCCTCCACCCGTGTGAGTTTGGATGGTTGTGTGTTCGTGATTCACAAGGGGCCCCCATAATCTGTCATTCCATAGCCTCTGATTCTTAGAAACACAATTTGATTCTTGCCTTTCTTCTTGATTGTAATTTTTGTTAATATGCTGATTTTGTGACACAGTCTGAATGGCGTTTCCTGGCTGAGTGATTTTAGAGGATCAGATCTGTTTTCTTCCCACAAGACCTAAGGACAGAGTTGGTGAAAACAGGCTGTGCTCGTGAGTGAAGGCTGGTGTGCGATGGTGTAGCGTCATGAGTGAAGGCTGGTGTCCGATGGTGTAGCATCACCCTGAGCTCGTGAGTGAAGGCTGGTGTGTGATGGTGTAGCATCACCCTGTGCTC